AGACTAACTTGAGCAAGTATTGGCTCTGCCTCCACATCGCAGTCGCTCCAACCTCTGCCAGCTCCCTTGACGCTGCTCCGTGCTGTAGCGATCTCCTTGAGAGATCCGCTAAGCCCATGCGTTGCGGCCTCTTTACCGTCAGCGTGTTCCAGCCTACCAGAATCACGTATCGGAACCACTTCCCGACGACGAATATGGTTGACGCTCGAACACGTTGCTGTTGCTTCTGGAGGTGGCCTTCCAGCCCCGTGCCAACCCCTTCCAACCCCAACAAAACACCGACAGACGAGAGAAGAGGCCACAAAACAGACAAGCAGAATGGCAAGAGAGAGACGCTCTGCAGGCGAGCCCACGGGCCTCTTGGGCCCTCGCGTCTCTCTCTCTCGATTCGTTACACCGATTCGACCATCAATGCGGCGGGCCGATTTCGACCCATCACAAATGTGGGAAGCCATTAACCTCCCTTGGCTTCCCACACAAACCCCCCTTCATGGGGGGAGCAGCAAATGAGGTAGTCTCTGCGAAAACACTGTCCCAGTGAATTCGCCCTAGAGGCTTCCGTGTGGACTCGCAGCTCCGGCTGGATGTCGGCGACCTAAAGCTCAGGGCCGCTCTCCCGTCGTCGTCCAACGCGTACAGAGGCCCGCCCGAGTCGCCCGGGAAGACCTTGGCGCCCTCCCCGCCCGCGCAGACCATGTCGTCGGAGATGATCACGTCAAAGCAAAACAGAGCTCTCGCCCAACAGGCGCCGTTTGCGATGACGGGCACATACGCGTGCCTCGCTCGCTCTGTGATGCTGCCGCTGCTGTCGCTTCTAGTGTCGCTTCCTCCCCAGCCAGCCACAACGAGCCGCCTCCCAGGGTCGGCCCTGCCGCTGTCGGACGCGTCGAGGAGGTCGATGGGAGCGTACTGCGCGTCCTCGTCCAACTCGAGCAGCGCCACGTCGAAGGCCTTGATGTGTTCCATCAAAGCCTCTTTCGTGATTGCCGTCTCCGGAGAAAGAAATTCCTCCTTCCACAGAGTCGCATGCTCCGTCGACTTGTACAGATGGTGTTCAATGGTTTTAATAACGCCGAGCGTCTTTGTGCAATCGTCCGGGTTGCCCGCGTCGTCGAGGCCCACCGTGACGTTCCGCACCGGACGGGAGGACCTCAGGCAGTGCGCCGCAGTCAACACCCACCGCTGGGCGATGAGAGTGCCGCTGCAGTGGTTCCCGTGCTCGTTTTCGCTGAAGTCGACGGAGACGTGCCAGGGGAGTCCGCGAGCCGGGATCGTGGTCCCATCGACGTAGTCGCTTCCGGATGCGTCGAAGACAGAGGGAGGGGGCGGTGGCGGTGGCGGTGCAAACACCTCGCGGCAGGCTTCCCCGTCCCAATACTCAGAGTCGTAGTCGCAAGCGTCGCATTGGCTAGTATCGGGGGAGGCTGAGGGCGGCGGCAGAGAGGGCACTGCTGCTGGCGGCGGCGGTGGCGGCGGCGAGGCGGAGCACTGCCCGCATCCCTTGCAGGCGTCCCGGCCGCACAGCTTCGGAAAACCAAGGGCATGGGTGGCGCAGTAGCCTTTGCACTCGCCCTGTGTCGCTGGAGCGGGCGTGGGGGAGGGGGTCGGCGCGGGGCCGGAGCACTGCCCGCATCCCTTGCAGGCGTCCCGGCCGCACAGCTTCGGAAAACCAAGGGCATGGGTGGCGCAGTAGCCTTTGCACTCGCCCTGTGTCGCTGGAGCGGGCGTGGGGGAGGGGGTCGGCGCGGGGCCGGAGCACTGCCCGCATCCCTTGCAGGCGTCCCGGCCGCACAGCTTCGGAAAACCAAGGGCATGGGTGGCGCAGTAGCCTTTGCACTCGCCCTGTGTCGCTGGAGCGGGCGTGGGGGAGGGGGTCGGCGCGGGGCCGGAGCACTGCCCGCATCCCTTGCAGGCGTCCCGGCCGCACAGCTTCGGAAAACCAAGGGCATGGGTGGCGCAGTAGCCTTTGCACTCGCCCTGTGTCGCTGGAGCGGGCGTGGGGGAGGGGGTCGGCGCGGGGCCGGCACACTGTGTGCAACCCTCGCAGGCGCTGCGCTGGCATAGCTTCGAGAATCCCAGCGTGTGGGTGGCACAGTAGCTCTTACACTCGCCGTTGGCCAGCGACGGCGACGCGGGTGCTTCGAGCAGGTACAGATCAAAAGGGACAGTGGGTCCTGAACGGCATTTGTCAAGTTCGATCCCGCCCTTGCGGAAGCACCGAAATGCGTTGGCGTTGCGAGCCGTGTCCGTGAGGACGGCCTCGCAGCCCTCCGTGGAAAGGCATGCTGCTTGACACGCCTCAAGGGAGTCCGCACCTGCGAAAGGCTGCCAGTCTTCGCCGTCGAAGTCGAATTCTATGCGCGCCCCATTGCCATTTCTTCCGCAGCCAGTCTGTGGGTGCCGCGTCCAGAGGCCCGGGAGCAAGGCTGGCAGCAGGGCGAGCATCACCCTGGCCAACGTTCTCTCGAGAGAAAAGGGAAACTCGGCAGAGACGCGGGTGCAGCCAGCAAACTGATGCTGAGCAAAGGTGCCACTGCCCGTCACGAGACCCGTCACCACAACGATGCTTTTGCTGTGCCCTGTGGCCTGGGAACGTTACTCGCGTATCTGGAGCGGGCGACGCTGGAGGCGACGGCCGACGCTGGAGCGGCGGCGTTGCAAAACTACAAAGGCCGTAGCTCCTGGGTAAATTGGGCCATAAAAGAAAGAGGGGCAATACCAGGGGGGTAAAATGGCGTAAAAAATTCTCTCCTTCTTTTTCCCAGAACTTTTTTCCCCAAAA